AAAAAAAAAAAAACAAAAAGAACGAGGACAGACGGGGCATTACACAGCACTCAACCTAGTCAGTTCAAGTTTTTTTCGACGATCATATCGTCACCATGATTCAATGCCATCGACTGCCATGAAAACTTTATGTCTGACTTGAAAACTCACAATACTATAATGATCTACATTGCTATGTACTATGTAGTGTTGGAAGGGTACACGAAGCTAATCGACTTCTGGCTGACGTCGACAAGTGAGTTGTATCATCATTGCGGCACATCGTGGTTTGGTGGAGCGAGATCTGCCTTCAACGCCAATAAACACGACTACATGGCTAGGTTGTTGGATGCAAATAGAACATCAACAATTGAGATTGCAATGTGAGTTTGAGATCTAACGGTAGTAACTTTGTATTAAGATAAGTTTGCTACAAAAGTATCAAGGGAATTGTCTTGGCCAATGTGTATCTGCGCCAAACACCTCGCTATAGTTGGCAACGCCGGTGGTAACAGTCATAAAAATGGGTCGTGATATCGCACTACAGTATGATTAGCCGAGCCCGCTGGCCAAATCTATCAAGAGATCATTGGATCAACGTCTCCGTTATTGGCCATCAAAGTATCGTTAGATGCGCCGTTATGACCCTGGGTGTTATTATCGCTGAGGCCCAAATCTAGTTTCTCCGGGATGTCCTTCTTAGCTTCACGGGCCTTTTGTTCCGCCCAGGCACGCAACTTGACCAGATTGCGCAACCGGGCTTCTTTACGAGCGCCCTGATTCTGCAGGATAGCTTCGTTCACGCTAGTGGCTATATCTTTACGCAAGTCAGGATGTAGGAGAGGAGCTAGAGCAGGTGTAAGGTTCTCAGTGGGGAAGATGAGGAGCGCCAGCGTCCTCTCAAGATCTTCCAAGAACTGAGGGTTTGTGGGAGCCCGGGGTGCGAGTTGCGATGTCGCAAACTCAAGGGCAGGAGTGATATCTCCGTCAGGTTTAGATGTGCACGAGCGAATCAGCTCCACAAGTTGCAAACGTAGGAGTGCAAAATGCAGGGGTGGATTTTCATCCAAGATCTATGCCAGCAAGGTCAGCACATAATCCAGAAATGCAAGTGATGACAAGCGACAATAACAATAATGTTTTGCTGATCATACTGACTGAAGATGTTTGTTTTTCGTCAAACCCCAAAGAGGTTTTACGAGTGGTGCATGAAAACTTGGTCTAATCCTAGCAAAGGGCCACGGGAGGTGGAGACAAGTGAATGGAGAAGATTCTTACCTGTGGATTCAGCTCGTTGATCTTTTCGATCGCAGCTTGGATATCCCCCGAGTGAATGGCAGTGCGAATTTCTACTCTTTCTTGAATAGCCTCTACATCCGCCCTGGGTTGGATGTTGGCCTCTGAAGCGAACTTCTTCGCAGCGGTTGGATATCCATTGGTAATGAGGTAGTCCATAACGAGATAGTTAATGTCACTGCAGACATGTTAGTCACCGTCTGTGATGGAGTTGGTAGACCAAAAGCATATAGCGAGGGCGATCGTTTCAGAAAGACAAGTTAAATATGTTCTCCTCAAGTGATTTCAGAGAGATTCCCAACTTGATTCAAGGTGCATCATTTGGACGGGCGGGGCCGGAAATGGCGGGAAAAAGAGGGAAACTCACGTCTTGGATGGCTTTACCTCATCAACCTTCCGCTCAAACTGGTGCCATGTTGGCGTTGTTGTCGAGGAAGTGGGAGACATCTGCTTCCGTTAAAACCAAGCAACCACGCACGCACAACACGTCGGGAGGCATACGTAATTAGCAGAAGCCATGGTTTCAGAAGTGCTGGTTATGGCAACACTCAATTGCCGTATTATTGCTGGATTGGCCGCCTGTGAAGATGGGGAGCTTCGCAGACGGGAGCCATGAGCATGTTGGGAAGAAAGAGAAGTGAAGAAAGAAGAGGAGAAAAAAAGGAGGAGAGCGGCGGGTTTTAGGTCACGTTGATTGCTAGCTAAGACTAGTGTTAGCCGCAAGCGAAGGTCACGGACCAGCCTAAGCTTAATGGGGTTAAGACCCGACAGGCTAGAGCGTTTAGCCATTTAGGGTATTGGTGCGAGTGACCGACAGCTAATTATTCTTCTTATCAGTCCCCAAGCGCCAAAACGACGCTGGGTGCTTGCTTGGTACTCCCAGTATTTTATGTGTATGATCTGAAAGTATTACACCACTCCGTGTCGGCAAACTAAATCTTTGGTGAGGTCCTAATCATGGAGTCGATCTCACCCGTATTCTCGTCGGGCACGGAGCAGCGGTACTCTCCACCATGGGAGGATTTGAGTATCATCGGTATCGCTGGTAGCTCAGGTTCCGGCAAGACTTCTGTGGCAATGGAGATTGTGAAGTCACTCAACCTGCCGTGGGTTGTGATTCTCGTAATGGTATCAATGCATTTCTTCTGTTTAACACTAGAGTTTAGTACAGTATCAAGTGAGCTTTGTGCCTCTAACGCTACTTGTATAGGATTCATTCTACAAGAGCTTGACGCCGGAGCAACATGCCAAGGCGCATAATAATGAGTTCGACTTCGACTGCCCAGATGCCTACGATTTCGATGCCCTTGTGCAGACCTTGAAGGATCTAAAGCAAGGGTACAGTGGCCCAAATTGTCATAAACTTTCAAATTAAACTAGGGGAATGCGGCTCAAGGCTAACGAACATGCCATAAAAGAAAGAAGGCAGATATCCCCGTTTACTCATTTGCCGACCATCAGCGTCAACTGCAAACAACTACGCTTTACTCCCCACATGTGATCATTTTGGAGGGTATCCTTGCTTTACATGACCCGAGGGTGCTGGAACTTTTGGATGTCAAGGTATGCCTTTGTTCTTCGTCGACGGCGGTTCAGAATGCTCACTCTTCTTTTATTAGATATTTGTTGAGGCGGATATGGATATCTGCTTGGGCCGCAGAAGTGAGTGATTTTTCCGACGTTCTAAGACAGCACTTCTCTAACGCAAGAGGAGCTAGTCATGCGAGACGTTAAAGAGCGAGGAAGAGATATCGAAGGCATCATCAAGCAGTGGTTTACTTTCGTTAAGCCGTCGTATACGAAATTTGTTGAACCACAACGGTCTATATCGGGTGAGTTGGTCATGTCCACCCCTCGAGAAACTCTTTCTGACCTTAATCTCAAGACCTTATAATTCCCCGTGGCATTCAGAACATCACCGCCATAGGTATGTGACCTCCATGGGTTTCTCTCCGTTGATACTAATTGTTCAGACATGGTTGTGAAACACATCCAGCGAAAACTCGATGAGAAGTCTGAGAAGCACAGAGCGGAGCTAGATCAACTGCGCAAAATTGCATCGGAATTGCAGCTTTCGCCTAACGTCATGGTAATGCCATCGACATCACAGTTTGTTGGCATGAACACAATTCTTCAAGACCCAAAAACGGAGCAAGTCGACTTCGTCTTTTACTTTGATCGACTCGCTTCCTTGCTCATAGAGAAGTGAGTCGACTGCGCATGCAACACAGAATTACACCCCAATCATCTTTAATCATTGCTTTCCCTTGATTCTCCCAACAAAGCATGGCAGAACCGATACGGATGACTGACGTTATCACCGAAACAGGGCCTTGGACTGTACCTCGTATGTTCCAGCTGGGGTAGAAACACCACAGAAGACTACCTATCAGGGATTGAACCCGGAAGGTATAATATCTGCTGTTGCAATTCTGCGAGGAGGCTCTTGCCTTGAGACCGCGCTGAAGCGCACTATTCCTGACTGCATTACTGGTCGCGTGCTCATTCAGACCAACGTGCAGAATGAAGTACCGGAGTTGCACTATCTGAAATTGCCTGAAAATATCCAGGAGCATACTACAGTTATGCTACTTGACCCCCAGATGTCTACCGGAGGAGCTGCTTTAATGGCTGTTCGAGTGTTGGTTGACCACGGCGTGGAGGAGCACAAGATTGTCTTTGTGACATGTGCCGCAGGGAAGATCGGGTTAAAGCGTCTCTCGACAGTATACCCGAAGGTTAGAGTCATCGTAGGACGGATTGAAGAGGAGCAAGAGCCTAGATGGATGGAGAGGAGATACTTTGGCTGCTGAAATGATTTGAATGTTGTAGATAAGGTTGAGCAGCACATGTTTGGCCGTGCCTATAATCGAATCGTGCGAGCTGGGAAGCATCCCTCTAGAGAATCATGACACACACACAATATATATATATAACCTCAAATGAAAGAATATCACTATATCTATGTCCTTCTGCCTGCATAGCTCAGGTTTGGGAAACGTGATTGTATTGAGTTAAGATCTGCTACACTAAAGCTAGTAGCACATAGTAGTCTGCGAATGCACGGACCACATCCAAGACCGCCGAAGAATCTTTGGCTCCGCCGCAAAAGAAAATTATCCTTATCACTTTTATCAACCACAAAAAAAAGTCAAGGCTACAATCAAACAGCCTTTGATTGTGGTACAATACAATAAATAAACGTCTTTAACTTCCTGATAATCATTTCATTTGTTTCCTTTTTCCTTATAACATACCATCACAATGCCAGACCAAAAGAAAAGTAAAAAGAGCGGCGGCGCCAAAAAGCAAGCCGACTCTGTCATCAGTATGTGCCTCTCATCTCTTCCATGCTGAAACGCCCATAACTAACAATCCCACCTGGGTATAATAGCCGATCCTCGTTTCGCCAATATTCAAACAGATCCTCGTTATCGTCTACCCAGTAAACGGCAGACACATGTGAAACTCGACAAGCGTTTCGCGCACATGCTGCACGACAAAGACTTCTCTCGGAATGCCGCAGTCGACCGATACGGACGGAAGCTTGCCCGTGATGATACGAAGAAGCAGCTGGAGAGATTCTATCGACTTGAGGGGGACGAGGAGGACGAGGAAGACGAGGAACATATGAGCGTGGCTGACGACGATGAGGTTCTTAAAGAACTGAAGAAGGCCGATAAGGCTAGTGGCACTTACGATCCTGCACGTGATGGAGGCTTTTCGTCTTCGTCCTCGGAAGAGGAGAGCTCTGACGAAGATGAGGACGAGGATGATGAATTTGGTACAGGCGAGGAGCTTGAGTTTCCGGATAAACAGCAGAGTGGCGTCCCCACAGGTGATGTGACGGAACGGATTGCGGTAGTGAATCTGGACTGGGATAATATACGGGCAGAGGATTTGATGGCTGTGTTCTCTAGCTTTGTTCCTACTGGTGGACGGGTACTGAAGGTTTCCGTCTATCCGAGTGAGTTTGGAAAAGAGCGCATGGAGAGAGAGGAGACGGAGGGTCCTCCAAGAGAGATTTTTGCTGCGAAAGACGATGATGAGTTCGAAGGGTTCGAAGATGACGGCTCAGATGTCGACTCAGATGAGGAAGAGGAGGAGATTAAAAAGGCAATGCTGAAGGAAGACAAGGGCGAGGAGTTCAACTCTACGGAACTACGAAAGTATCAATTGGAACGACTACGCTACTTCTATGCTATTTTGACTTTCTCGAGCAAGGATGTGGCGAAGCATGTCTACGATTTGGTCGATGGCGCTGAGTATCTGTCGAGCGCAAACTTCTTTGATCTTCGTTTCGTCCCCGACGACACCGACTTTTCCGATGATAAGCCTCGTGACGAATGCAAACGGATTCCAGATGGTTATCAGCCGAATGAATTCGTGACCGATGCGCTACAGCATAGCAAAGTTAAGCTGACATGGGACATGGAGGATAAGTCACGAAAGGAAGCTCAAGCACGGGCGTTCAGAGGCAGCCGGAAAGAAATTGATGAGAATGATTTGAAGGCTTACCTCGCCAGTGATAGCTCCTCTGAGGACGAGGATGAGGACGGTGGAGTGGAAGTTGTAGATACTACAAAGGAAGACGGCGGAAGTTCTAAGAAAATCTCAAAGAAAGAAGACGAGAGACAGCGTATGCGTGCTCTCTTAGGGCTGGGTACGGAGCCAGCACCTTCCTCTAAGTCAGACGGCCCTGTTGGCGAAATGGAAGTCACCTTCACCTCGGGTCTGGCCGGCGGCTCCAACAAAGACAGCATATTTGAAAATGAACCCGAGAAAGACGAGACTACGATCGAGAAATACATCCGCAAGGAGCGTGAGAGGAAGAAGCGGAGAAAGGAGAAGTTGAAGGCGGCTAAGAAAGGTGACAGTGAGGCCGATGAACAGGATGATGCGCCTGAACCGGAAGAGAAGTCCCAGGAGGAAGATCTGGGCTTTAACGACCCATTCTTTGACGACCCTTCTGGCAAGGAATCTACTGCAGCTCGCCGCAAAGAGGAAAAACGGAAGAAGCGGGAGGAGCGTGCTGCGGAGGAAGCTGCAGCCGCCGCTAAGCGAGCCGAGCTGGAGTTGTTAATGATGGACGATGAAAACAAGAATATCAAGCACTTCGACATGAATGAGATCGAAAAGGCCGAAAAACAAGCCCGTAAAAAGGGCAAGGGCAAAGGAAAAGGCAAGCAGGCGGCACAAGTGGTGGACGACTTCCAGATGGATGTCAGCGACCCGCGTTTTTCCCGTTTGTTCGAGAGTCACGAATTTGCTATTGATCCTACCAATCCTCGCTTCAAGGCGACATCTGGTATGAAGCAATTGCTGGAAGAAGGACGTAAGCGGCGTAGAAACCGGGATGATCGTGCGGACGAGGAAGAGGTCAGCCGCAATGATCAGAAGAAGACGAAGAAGCAGAAGAAGAGCGAATCCACAGAAGGTGGATCAGAGGATCTGAAAAAGTTGGTGGACAAAGTGAAGCGGAAGACGCAGAAGAGTTGATTGGTTGTATGATTCAGGCGAAGATCACCAAATTCTAGGGCAACGGCCAAACTGGATATGGATAGAATAAGCAGATAAGCATAAATTAATTTCTCTCTTTTTTTTTTTTTTTCTTTTTACATTTAACTTTTTCCCGCTGTCTTGTAGAAAATGTGAATTTGATATTCGACGAGACTTATTTCGTCTTGAGGGGTGGTTGTTTTCATCATAGTTTGAGATGGAGAAATGCTCGTGGAGATAATCTCACCTCAGCCCCTCCTCTCTGCGCTGTACGTGATAGCTGCATGTCTGTCTGGACGTTGTTCCCCAGATTAGGAAAATGGCAGGGAAGCGGGACGCGTTTATGCAGGATGAGGTGTAGTGTAACCGGTTGGGCCAACGAATGCCCCATGCCCGTGATCGGCGATGAGGCTGAGGATCATGTGTGCCTTCACCGCCCTTTCATCACTCGATTTACCCTCACTTTAGCTTCTCTTTCTCTCCCTTTCCCCATTCTTTTCTTTCCCTCTTGCTCTTCTCCCTCGTGGGTGTTTTTGTGTCTGGTGGAGCCTGTTACGTCCCCTTTCCCCTCCAATTCCCTGTCTCTGATCCCACGCTATTCTGTGAATACCCCTCAATTGCTTTTTTTTTCTTTCTTTCTTTTCTTTTCTTATCATTAGCCAAATCAACCAAATTTCTCCCCTCCCCTCCCCTCTTTCCATTGCACAGACTTCGCTGCCCGCTTCTTTCATTCTTTCTTTCATTCTACCTCCCCCCAAGTAACACTAGTCTTCTGTTCAAACATTGCACCGTTGTCGATCTGTTCATTTGATCATGATTGCTTACTGGTGTGATTGAATCATGGGGAACTGCAGTTCCAAGATAGTTTAGCTGTCTGGCTGTTGGTTACCTGTTTTCTACTTTCATCATTGCCAACAACATTGTGCTTAGCGGGAACGGCCCCTCTTGCCCTTTGATTGATTTCTTTGTTTCTTTCCCTGCATACGGATCCTTGCCTGTCACCATGCTGGGCCGGTTACTAAGTACTGCAGCTTCCACGTTGAATCCGGCGGCCTATTCTGCTAAAAATCCCCATCAGCTCGAGTCCGTCACCGAAGAAGAGCATACCTCCGGCCTTCTGTTCCCTGATGCAAGCCTCCTCCGTCGCTCGAATACACATGCGTATCCCCTTCATACGGCTTTCATTTCCCCGAATGCTTCCACCGCTGGTGCCTATGACGATCGGGGAGGGGTTGACTTGGATCCTACTAAGGACTTTCGTGTAATCATCGCTCAGAATGCATTGGGAGATAGGGATGCGTGCGTGCTGCTGGATACTCGTGCTAGTTCGGAGTCTGCCTCCTATGGTCTTGGGCTGGAACCTCAGGCATTTGAAAGCTCGGGTGCACGGCATGCTCGCACAGTCTCGACTTTGACCCGGGGACCTCGACGAGGTTACTTGTCGCAGTCGTCGACAGTAGAACCAAGTCCGCTTTCATTTGCTGCAGAAGCCCGCAGATCACCACCAATGTCGTCTGGTGCTTTCATGCGCGCCCGTGGCCGCAGCTCCACGTTATCACCTGCTGGAGGCCCTCACGATCCAGGTTATTCGCGCCATTCGACAGATTCGAACGATGCTGGTTTGTTGAACTGTATCTTTGGCAGCAGTGCATTCAGCTATCGAGGATCCTCCACGAAGATGCATATTATTTCTGCCGATGACGAGCCTGGTAGGACTGCGAGTGCCTCTCCCGCCTCCCGCAGTTCTTTTACCCGAGCCTACACTACCGGGAGTTCATCTGCCTTCGTGAATTCGAACCGCGGGAATGACGGAAAACCACCGTCGAAAGTGACCATTCTTGTAACGCGGATGTTTAGTGTCAATCTGCCGGAGGCGGGTGAAACCTCTCCAGACAGACAAGACCTTGCTGCTTCCTTGTATCAAGAATCACTCCCAGAATCTGGCTTCCCGTTCCCCGACATTGCCAAGCGCAAAAAGATCAAAGAGAAGAAAACTCCAATGTACGCTGTGGCGATCACGATCCAAATCCCTCTTCTAGGTCGTAATGTCGGTCGTCCTGTTTCTCGGTTCAGCACCCAAGGCTCTGACTCGCCCAGGCCAGGGATGTCGTGCTCGTTGGATTCGGACTACCGCTGGCGCTCTGGGTTCTTAGACGACAGTTTGTCACTTGCTTCCCCTCCGGCAAGCCTGGACGAAAGAATTGATTTGCTAGTGGATCATTGGGATGTTATTAACCGTACCTTGTCGCATTTGGAAAGACTCTCGCGGAAAGAGATCCTGTTCCTCCTGAAAAAGGTGGATTCGTCGTCTGGGATACACCCGAAGCCAGCTAAACCCCCCAATATGCAACGAACAAATCAAACTATAATTCACTTGCCCGCGAACATCTTAGCGGTGAATTCAAAGCTTCGGGAGGAGGCTATTCGCAGTACGCGCCGTATCAGCACGGCTCTTCAAACCCCATATGTGGTAACAGGACAAAGTCGGTGGGGTGTATGGCGCGAGGAAGGCCGTTCGATTGTGCGCAACCTTGGGGACAAAGACCATAGTTTCTTCTTCTTGGTGCTCATTACCGCATTCTTGGGGAACCACACGGAGTGGCTCAATGCATTAGGCCCAGAATGGTGGCGACGCCGACACTATATACAGCAAAAGGCCCAGCAACAGGATTCTGATCCGATCCTAGCGAACCGTACTGTAATTGTGTCCCCCGACAAGATGACTGCTCGTCGGCTTATATTCTTACTCTCTGCGTTTCTTCCCCCCAAGCAGCGCTTTGAGCCTCTTCCGTCACCCATTCGACCTGGCACATCTTCCTCAATGCGTGCTGTCTCACAAAGTCCGCCCAATGTTCCCGTCCTACGACAGGAGTCTCTGCGCAGAGCCATCGAAAGACGGTCTCGTGCGCAACGTTTGAATCTCGCTGATAGAGATCAACACCAGCGATCTGTGAGCGTGTCGTCAAGTGAAACTGCACACCGCTCGACAGATGATGCCGAGTCCGCGGCTCCAATGGAATTCGCAGCAACCAGAAGAGGGTCCGATGCACGTTCCATTAGAACGTTAGGGGTCCCTATACATGCGAAGGATGCGCGCAGCAAGAACACTAGCATAGCGACAACATCCACTGCAACCCCTGGTAGCACTGTCCCTGTCCCGCATTTTGCTTCACTGAGCCGGTTAGAACGGGATAGGTCGGACCACTCCATGCATGAAGGGACTGATAGTCTGGCATCTGAGAACCTGCTGAAGAATTTGCAAAGGAGTGAAAGCTCAGTGTTGAGCACCAACAGTAGTGTACCTTCAACTACTGGCCGATGGGGTAGCCTGTTCTCGGGATTATGGAGTTCACGCCAGGAGTCATCCACCGGAAGTAGCGAAGCAGTTTCATCAGCTGAGATTCGCAGGCGCTCTGTCTCTGGCTATACACCGCTGCCGAAACGAGGCCCTCCTACCTTAAGTCAAATGGTAAAAGAGGTCTCGACTGAAATGCCCGAAGAAGCTCCTAAAGTGGCCACAAGTGGCAATATTTCGATCCCTCACTCCAATACTCAGCATCTCGAGGAAGATGTGCAGGATCTTTCATTAACGGTAGACCATAACAGAGAATCTTCTTTGAAATTATCCGTACGCGGCGACGATGGAATTGTCGACGTTGACCTTCCGTTGCCTGGCTTTGTTTCGCTTTCTTCGTCAGGTGACTCTACCATGACATCGCCGAAGAAGACGCGGACCTCAGTGACTAGTGTGGATGCCGTGGCATCCACACACAGCAGTGGCTCGGGCTTCCCTTACGCGCCTAGAGAAAACGACGGGCCTAATATCAATGTTGCTGGTTGGCTGAGGAGCTTTCACGATGACTTTCTGCTTCAAGCAGTGCGGCCTTATTCAAGCTTGGAAGCCGATGTGAAACGCGCAATGCAAGCTGAACCTACCCCAAGCCATGCTTTCTCATCCGAAGCGGATGGATCAGAAAGATGGGTAGATGTGGCTACGACGCTAATCGCTGACGCAAGAACTTTCACGGTCAAGCGACTGCGCCTAAGACGGAAAGCTATTAACAATGTCTTTTGGCGAAGCCCTAATTCACCGTCCATTTCTCAACCTGGTACCCCTCGTCACGTCCCTGGAGGTTCTATCTCGTCTTCCAGCAAAATATCTACCATATCTCCGATAGAAGGTTACGAGCCCAATGAATTTGAAGAGCGTTTTGTCGAAGAACCAGTCATGGATCTGGACGGCACACTGGTTGATGCACTTGAACGTGTTCTTGCTCAAAGCGGCCCATCGTCTTTGGCCCACTCTCGGGCACCGTCTCCCTCGCGGGCTCGCAAGGGTGATGATAAGGTCACATCAGACGCAGCCAATCGGGATGAGGCCCAAGTCCCTTCTCTTGAGGTTCCTCGCACTGAATGTCGCAAGCTCGTCTTGGGGGCACTCGAAGAAGTAGTTCGCAGCGTGACCGCTGAGCATTGTCGGGAGGATGTTGACGGGGAGATTGCTATGGCAGACAGAGAACGCAAGCGTTCATTAGCTGGGCCCGACAACACGTTGAGGGAAGGAGTGCGCAGGTGGCTTCTTGACGTTGAAGAGGCTTGGTAATTCTTTTTCTTTTCTTTCAGACTTTATTTCCTTCTAGCCCAGCCTTTTTCTCTCTTACTTTTTAAACTTTTTTCACATCCCTAGGTCTGTTATAGTGATGGATGCTAGTATTTTGCTTTCAGCAATCTGTCCATTCACAGACTTTTCTCTCCTTTACTTCATACACAGGTGGAACTTCCCGGTTCACCAACAGCAGAGCAGGAGTTAGTCTGTGGCCATCTTTATTATTGCTTTCTGAACATCATGATACCCATGTGTTGTGTTTGTTTGTTTGTTTGTTTTTTTTTTTTTTTTCCGCTAGTCTTGTATTTTCGACTCTTGACTCACCATTAACATGAGTGAAGATGTGACAGTCTTCTAGCTAGTTTCTATGATTATTCTGCTTGAAGATTCAACCTAATACATGTCTACCAAACAATCAAACAGAAACTCTAGCACATTGTTGAATGAGTTTTGTTCGTAACGTTTTAAAGATCATATATCTCTCC